TTTTTCGCGTGGGTAAAATTTTTTGAAAAAATTTGGAGACCTGAAAAACATCCAAAAACTGAAGAAAAAAATTTTTAGGGGTGAAAGGACCAAGTTTTCTGTAACGCTATGTAACCTGCCCGAGTTAACTGGGGCGAGGAACTAAAGGGGATAATTATAAACTTAACGGTTTGTACAATATCTGCTATTGGTCTAGGTTTGATTAATCCTGTCGTGACATGAGTCGACGATGACGTTTTACCAAATTATATGAGTTTTTTAGCATGTTTGTACGAATACTGTTGCAATTTTTTTGCCATGATATAGGAATCCGAACTATAGGAACCCGTGTTATAGGGAGTCAACTGTATACTTATAAGAGGATACTCAGATGTAATCTCATTCTAAACATTTTTTGAGTTAACAGTAGAAACAGTGCTTGTTTTTTTTTTGGAAGTAGCAAAAACTTTCTTTGTTAGATTTGTTTGAATCTCTCAAATTTCCTGAAATCTTTTCCTTTCAACTGCACTTTCTCCAAAAAAATTCCAGGACAACAAAATCTGGTGAAGAGGATGACTGTTATACCTGTGTGATGCAAGAGACTGTGTGCATTCTCATGATGTATTTTCCACTTGTCACTCTGATATAATGTCAGTGTTTTGTGATGAATGGCATCTCTCAAATGTGGAAAAAATTGGTCACTTCAGGAGGTCTTCAGGCAACAAGAAATAATGTGGTGTAGTAAAAAATATATATTCATAAACAAAATTGTGTGTACATAANGGTCTTCAGGCAACAAGAAATAATGTGGTGCAATGAAACTTACAAAAAGGGATGCAGAACATTTTCATAACCCAAAATTTCCCCAAAAATTATTCCACAAAATATTTTTGAACCAATTAATAATTATTATTACATAGTTTGGAAAATTCAAATTAAATTATACATATACAGTAATACCCCAAACTTACACGATAGGTGGGACCGAGCGGTAACCGCGTAAGTCTAATTCGCGTAAGTCGGGGTATAATTTTGCATATAAATACATACAAATAATTTTTAATTGGGGCCAGAGACTAAAGAAAACAATAATTTAGAAAAAAATGTTTAATAAAATCTTAGATGATAATATATACATATAACAAATTAGGCCTATATTATTTTACAATTTTTTACATTTACTTGATTATCACATCATAATTTTAACATTGTTTCCATCTCAGCGATAATACCGTGACATTTACGGATGATGCTTGAATTTAAAAATTGAGCATTTTTCACATTTTCAAGAATTTTTTCTTTGCCTTTTATAATTGTTCTGACCGTCAATTCCGGTAGATCAAACATCTTTGCGAATTCACAAATTTTCATTTTTGTATCGAAGTCTTTAATGATGGGTACGTTTGTAAACTCAAACGAGTTAAACGCGTTAGTAACGAATAACGATGACATCATTCTTGTTTAACTCGTTCGACTTTACGAATGTACCCAATGTTAACTTTACATTCCAAAGATAAAGTTTTTCTTTTCTTGTTTGATGCAGAAGAACTAGTTCTACTTCGTTTGGATGACATAGTCAAGTCTCTGTAGATATAACAAACACAGAAATAAATCACACAAAATAAATTGTAGCTATGTGTCGATTCCGCGCGATACATCCAAACATGTAAGCTGAACAATAGTGTGGAGGGAGTAAGTAATCAAGGGTTGCGTGGCTCTCAAACAAAAGATGAATCAACGAGATTTGAAAATCGCGTAACTCCGGGTTCGCGTAAGTTGAGGTATTACTGTAATTAAATAGGCCTACCATACAATTTGCCATGCAACACTAAACTCATAAGTTAACATAAAAAATTTCAGATTGAAAGAATATTTTAATTTAAACACATGTTGGCATCATCATAGAATAGCATATACAATTATAAACTTGATGCAATATGTTGATTAATAGAAATAAAATTGAAGACAGTGCCATGAATAATTATTTTTTTTTATCATAGACAGAAATTAATGACTTTTTGACATCAAAAATGCAAAATTTATTTATGAGAAGTCATCCTCATAAATAAATTTTTGAGCCTTATAAAAATTCATTCTTACGAATTTTTATAAGGCTCAAAAATTCCAGTTAAGGATGAATCTCAAATAATGAACACCTAAAATATGTTAAAAAGGAAAATTTCAGATTTGGAAAGAAAATTTTTATATTGAAATTAGTTTCCCACCTTGGACGTTTTGTCTAACTTCTAAAACACTCCTTTAATTAAAATAATTTAACTTAAATAAAGTTAATAGTTTAAAAAGTTAATAGTAAAAATTACATACATTTACAATCTAATAATTTCATTTAAAACATTATAATTTTTTGAAATTACTCGAAATTTTAAAACAATGCAAGCTAGGTCTGAGCCCTGGTAATTAATACAGTCAAACCTTGGGTTAAGCTCCTGTTTACAAACAAAATTTTGAACACCATATTTGTTCCAGTTGCCATATGATAACTTGGTTTCCAAACAAGCTACTCAGTAAAGCTGGCCACTGATGATCAACTTTCTATGTTCAAGATAGTTAGTGGCCTAACCAATCAATGCCAGGACTACTGATTTAGAAGTTAGTGGTGCCACAATTGCTCTACGTCATGATACTAATCATAATTGACATTGCTTTTTAAAATGCTTTGCAATGTGCATGCAGGAAAGATACTATTTCCATTTTTTGGTATGTGTCACAGTTTAATTTAAATCAAATTAATTAATAAAAACAGTGTTAATTGACATTCACATAATATAAATGGCATTTAAGAATTTGGTTAGATTTGTTTATATTTCATGCAAGTGGTCAGAGTTGAGTCTCTATAGCACTTCTTTGTAAAGTGTTTTGGTTTTGGTTATGGTTAGCAGTGATGGAACATATTGCTTTATAGAACAGATATAGATATAGACAATATTATATTGCATTTGTAGGCATTTTTATGGATGAAACAACTAAAAAGGGTTTTAAAAAAAGTTTTGTTTTGTGAGTCAGAAATGGATTAATCCATTAATGTTTCTTATGGGAAATTGTTTTGATTTAAGAACAAATTGGTTTCCAAACAATTTTTAGGAACAAATTAAGTTCATAAACCAAGGTTTGACTGTACTGGCTTCCTTAAGCACTTAGCTCATCAATAGCTGAGTGAATAAAACACTGATAGTTGTTCACAGGTTTGCATTTCATCATCAGAGTGGCCACATGGAGTTTTCCAGGTTTTATTCATGTATCTAATACCTAAGTAGGGTCAGTTTCCTGTAGAAAGTCTTCTTGGGAGGCATTCCTCTTTGACTGATTGATGGATTTTTCCCATCATTCTAAGATACTGAACTGCTTTCCTTATCTGATATTAATGAAAGCATCATCTGAAAACATTTTATAAAATGTTTTATTTTTAATTTTAATAATTCAGCAATTATAAAAATATGTAACTGTTAATTAGAAAAAATAAATAATTAAAAAGTTTAAGAAGCAATAGTGTATGCACATGGTAATGCAAATGCTGTTTTACTTTGTCAATGTGCCATACTACACAGATGTATGGCACACAGGAACTTTATACAAAGTTGGTCAGGAAAAGTCATGGAATTTAAAACAAAAATTTGAGTAGGAACCTTGTAGATATCCTAATTTGTTTGTTGCACTTGCATAGCATTGTTATAGACCAGCGATTCCCAACTCAGGGTACGCAATAGGTTGTTTAGGGGTACAGAAAGAAGTTATTATGGCAGAAAAATAATATATTATGTATCATAAATTAATAGTATTAAAAAATTATTAGGTAAAAAATGTTCCTTGCAATAATCACGAACTTTAATATACATTTCAAAATCAAAAATAGAAATAAAAACTTATGCTACTGATTGTAGAATGCAACAATTGCAACATTTATTGATCTGTTGATCAATAAATGTTGCGCAGTCAGTCAATGGTAGTGGGGATACCATTATGCATGATTAGTGACTTTTGATGGTGGAGTATGTTATTGTTATTATTATTATCTCTCAACAATATCCCCATGTGTTGTTTGAAAAAAGTATTTTTTTTTTGTTAGCAAGAAAAAGGACAAAGCTAGTTTCTCCAGATTTTCTCTACAAGCAGTAACTTTTTTTCATTATTTATTCAGTATTTTTATTAATTTTTTATCGACAAGACTATGTCTTGTTTATAATATTGTACTGCCTGCTGTGTTATCAGCTTAGAGGTAAGATGGAGTACATGTCAGAAGTTGCAATTTGGCACAGAGTATTAGGTGCCCAAATCATGCACGCATAAAAAAAAAAAACAGACTTGTAGGTTTAGGTTTGATTCGGTTCCCTGAGTAGGTACTCAGGGGACCGAATCAAAATAAAATTCAAAGTGGCGACACTCTACAAACAGGCAGTGCGAGATTTGCGCATGCGTTGCTAGCTGGGAAGTTGGAAATGTCACGAGGGGGTATGCTAATGAAAAAAAGGTTGGGAACTGCTGTTATAGACAAACAATGAGCTAGAGACATGTGACTCATTCATGATAGGTTCTAAGGTAATCCCATGCCTAGTCACTTCTGGACTTTAGATACTTTTTGATCACACCTATATCCTGACTGTCAGCATATTTTATTTGCAAAGGCATATAGAATTTCTTTGCATAATCTCAGATGTTGGAAACAGCATGTGGTGCAGTTTGATGAAAATATTTGTGACAGTCTATTGGCGAACAGCTATTCCACTTGTTACTAGTCTGTAGTAAAGATTTGCCTTTAACCATGTAAGCTGATTTCTAGTTTTGGAGAGATTTTTGTTATCAAGCTTAAAAAATCAACTTATACATCAAGTGTAGTATTTATTTTCATAATTTATATTGCTATGTCAGCCTGTTTTCTGCAAGTATTTATAAATAAGTTTTCATTTACAATTCTTAATGATTTATTATATACATTAATATGTTTTTTTAATTTTAAAAAAATATAATTATTTCACAGTAATAGTAATGCAATGATTATTCTATAGATGTCAAGAAGGGATGTTGTGTGTTGTGCCAGACATATCAGCATTTCGTGAAGGTTGGCAGTGGGTACGACAGCCTACACAGGTATGTTTCAAATGTAATTAGTAAAAAAAATATAAAGTAATATTTTTTATAAAATAATTTTTATTTCTTACTTAATCAAATTTTGTATAGGTACCTGTTTCACTTGTGCGAAGTGATGGCATTATTTATGCAACTGGACTTACTTTTACATATACTCCTGAACCTGGACCAAGACCACATTGTCCAGGAGTGGAAGAAATCTTACGACCTGCAGGATTGCACCAAGTAGATGAAAATCAGTCTCGGGTTACGCCTAATACAGTACCAGTAGCACCCCCACATGGTTATCCTGAAGCCCATATGTGATATGTTACAACAAATTCACTTTGACAATGTATTGCTTGTATATAGAAGAAAGAAATGCCTTTTATATTGCTGAAACTTTTGGAAAATGGGCACTTTAATGAAAAGACTGTGTTGTTACAGGAGTGCATAATATTTGACACTGTATAAATGCACTTTATTTGTTGCATTAAATGATCCATTCCTTTTTTGCACATTGAGTGTAATTGTATACATTATTATTTGGATGATATGCCTAAAAAGAGACTGCTTGATTTTAGGCAAAGTGTTTTGAATGGTTCTCTTTGTTCCTCTGCTGGTGTTAAATTTGAAATTTATTATGGACAATAATTCAGTGGTCAGCAACTGGTGATAATACATCAAACATAATGATGGGCCAGCCTTAAAATGACTTAAAATTGGCAATGATATTAGTGATTTTGATAAATTCACATATTGCAGATTGCAAGACAATGTAAAATAGTGATAACAATGTAACAAAAAAAAGAAGAAACTAATTGATATAAAATAATGCTTGTATATCAATTTATTTGGAATGTTGCAATTTTATGAAGCAAATTATTTCTATATTTATCTTTGTTTGAAAATTTTCCCTTTACAAGATCATCAAAATATGTCCACTTCCTTTTTTATCAATATAAAATTAATGTAGGTAATATCAGGTGTTTTAAACAAAGTGTAATATTCACATAAACATACACATCACGTGTAAGAATTGGATTATTTTATTTGGTTCTAGCAAGTTTAAAAATCAAAGATCATTTCTAAATATGATATATAATACATGATGGCTCAAAAAAATAACTTTTAAAATACCTATCAAAACTTGACAAAATTATATTTTTCCCATATATATAAAATATATATATCTAGGGAAATCAAACAAAGACACAAACAAATTTTTATACAAATTTGTCAATATAACATTGATTAATTGACTGATAGAAGATAAGAACAAATAGTATTAAGTTTGTTGAATTATTACATATTTTATTTTTCTTTTGTTGTAATTTCAACTTAATTGATATTATAAATAGGAAATCAAAGATTATTGGACACATGAGTTAATTAAAAATATATATATATGTTTTTGATTCACCATCAGTATACCGTATTTACTCGCATATAAGATGAAGATTTTATTAATTTATCACAGCTTCAAATTGCTAGGTTGTCCTACATGTGTGAACGAAAGATTCTTTGCATTCTTGCAAATAATTTTTGTGAATCGTGTATTTGCATTTTTTACCAGATGCTTACCCTCTTGTATTTAAAAACATAAGTATTTTATCTGGATCATTTGAATTGTTCTTGTATATTGTCAGGAGTAAAGATGAATAGCAAAAGGAAAAGCAAAGCTTTTGAATTGAATTCCAGATTGAAATTCCAAAATCACACTGGAGCCTGATATAAGTTTTAATCCATTCCCACATGAAAACATGATTATTCAAAAATCAGAATTCAGAGAAACTCATAAGTGTAATCGACAGAGAATGGATTCACCTGTTAATTTAAATTAAGAATTGGCAAAAAGGTCTCTGATTGTCCAGCTTTACATGAACAAATTAGATTGTCAATTTTACAAGATTTTTCCTTAAATTTTAAAATGCCAGTAATTTTTGCAGGACAATGTGTTCATTTATGTTCATTTGATATTTTATTTGTGATTAAATGAAATAAAATTAGAATTGTATTAATAAATCTAATTTTTTTTATTTTGATCTTTAAGTCACACCTCATCCTATATGCGAGTAAATACAATAATTTTCCAGAAATGAATAAAGTAATATACTTACTTTTTGAAATATTTTTGTATTTAGAATTCTGCTGGAATGAATAAAGTACTATCAATATGGTACAGTATATATATATAATTTACTCATAGATAATGTCAAACATGAAAATGATGGTAGTTTACTTATGATGGAATAGTTCAGTATAAGTTTAATTATTATTATTATTTTAAAATTATTAAATATAAATCAATATTTTTTTAAATTGTCTGGATTATATTGAATATATCTTCAAAAAATTCAGTTCCATGATATAGAATTTCAGTTAGAACTTTGTTGAGCATTAATAGAAAGTGTTTGGTGAGTAATTAGAAAGAATATAAATTATAGTTATTTTTGTTACTTTTTTGCAAGAAGTTAAAAAATTTTATCAGAAACATTTTCTAAAATAAAATTTACTGTGAATATTAGCTGTTCTACTGAATGTGAACATAATATTTAGATTTAAAAATCAAAAACTTTTCATGCTTCCAAATTTTTGAAGTTTTATTTTAAATAATTTTTTTCTGGCAATGTGTATAAAAGCTAAAAACATATATTATTCATACAGTTGTATTTTTCTAAACTATGGGCATAAAACAGTTTCAATAAACATACTATTTGTAAAAGATTATTGCAAATAATCACAGTAATATTTCCAAGTCAGAATAACATCATCATGCAATAAAAATTTAAAGCCTATTACAAAATTAAATGAGAAATTTTAAAAATTATCTTTTTTTTGCCATCTAATATTATATATTATGAAAGGACAACCATTCTTTTAAAATCCCATAAATTTGTCGTTTTAGAAAGGTACATATTTTGTTTCATTTTTAATTATTTTGTATTTTGGGTGTACATCTGTAAGTACTTTGCTCTTTATTGTAAAAAATTATTCTAAGAAAATATTTGATATTTTGTAACAAATGAAGGAATTGTCACTAATAAATTACTTTTAGTATATAAGTGAAATTAAAACCTATACTATAAGTTTCACTGTTGTATATATATATTAATTACAACTATTAACAGTGGATATGAAATGCACTCTGTTTAATGTGCAGGAACTTTGATGATTGAAGATTACATAAAATATTTCAATATTTTCTTATAGTACAATATAAATTTATAGTTATNTTGTAATCGAAAGCCACTAATAAAATATTTTTTTTTTTATTCTTGGAATTTTATTTTAAAAAAGACCAATTTAATATATTTGGAACTGTACAATAATTTTATTTAGTAAAGCTGAGTTCTTAATTTTGAGATCAAATATTTATTGAGAGAATTACAATAGCTAATATAAGTTCTCAACAAAATGTTTAAAAAATGTTCAAAGAATTCTATTAAGATTCTGTTTGAAAATCATTGACCTATAGTGTCCAATATCACTAAAAGTGTATCATGAATTTTTGAAATGATTTTAAGTTTGGAATTTGGGGAGGATTCAAATTTAGAATAGGAAGATTTCAGTATTGAATTTGGAAGATTAAGTTGTGTGAACTTTTATGAATTTAACTTGGCTCCTAAAGACTGTTTTATTGTGTGTTCTGGCTAGAAATACACTACAAGACTAATATAGTATTGATTAGTAGCATAATGCTTATATTTATAAAGGTTCAAAGATTACAAAGTAGTAAGCTCATGATACGTATATAAATGAAGCACATACATTATTTTTTTCATTTATATACAAATTAATTTAAATATTGAATTTTTTTCCCCTCTGTAACAGTTAAACTATAAGAAATTTATAAATTATAATTTCCTTTTAAAAAGACAATAAAACAAACTTTTAGACAAAAGATAGAACTAAAAAAAAAAAAAAAACACAAATATATTAGAAGTTATTTTTAAAGTTATGTTTACAAGTATATTTGAATCATGGAAAGCTGTCTAGTAGTAAATATTCAAGATTGTATTGATATATGAATTATTACGATTAACTGACTTTTGGGCCATTCTAATTTTCTTGTCTGTAAATGTGCTTAGATAAGAATTCTGCCACATTTTAAATTAATTAAATATGAGCAGCAAATTTGCTCTTTATACAAAATTCAAAATTATTATTATAAACAAAGGTAAGACACAATTTACCCTCCGAATGAGGGGGTGGCGACCTCCCAAATTGTAGCCCTCCCTTGTGAAAACAAAAAACACCTTTGTCATCGACTCCCAGGACCTAACCGAGGCGGGGACCAGCGACCTCACCCCATCCTCATCTACACAACAACAGGACTAGGCTAGGCATCGCCAGGTAGCGAAAGGACGTGGCAGGAGACGCTTTTGAAGGTGAGTGTAAGTACAATCTGTTTTCTTGACCTTTTACGGATGGGCAGTTTTCTTAGTCTTTGCCAATAACTGTCTATAAAATATATGGCCAGCCTGTAGTAAAAGCATTCACACGCTGTCGACAGTAGAAGATGCCGTGAAAGGACAAATTTACTTCTACAGTATTATGACAAGGTATTAAGTTTTGAGTATTAGACGGCCATCTTGCCTTCCAGATATAGAATCTACCCTATTTTCAAATTACTTTAAATAGAGTATGTTAAAACAGTTTTCTTTCCATGATGATCAAGCCAGTTTGAGAAAATCTGGAACAGAAGAGAAATTTACATTACATTACATTAAAAGAGTAGAGAGGTTGTCTGTATGTGCACAGACTTTACCTCTAAGAAATTAGAAGTGATGAAATTGAAATTAAAAGAGGAAGTGATAGTAAGTAGGGAGGGAAAGATTGAAGGTAAGTGTCGGATCATTGAGCGTCTGCATCATAATTGTTGAACAAGTAAAAATACAAGATAAAATACAATTGATCTTAAGCATGCCATCGCATGCTTAAGATCATCATCCCTTGAATTTCCATCTAGTAAATATAAAAACTTAAAAATTCTTTTTAATATAGTCCCTAGATGTCTGCTCACCAGCGTTCCCAATCGTGGCGATTTTTAGAGGGACGTAGGGAGATATCGGAGACCGCAGACAAATCAGCCAAAAGTAGCGACTTTTGAAATTTTGTTTGTTTATTTTTTGAGAAATTTAAATTTATGTTTATAGTTTTCAAATTTATAGATTTTTCTCTACTTTACAGAACTCTCTGGCGACGACTAATATTATTACGATATACAAAACTATTTCTAGATTTTTCTAGTGTGCAGAGCTAGAAATCTGTAAATGTAACATTTTGTAAGAAAAATAAATCTGCCCGGGGATTTTTTTAATTGCTAAATTGCTAAATAGAAAACGTGGTAACTCTCGAATAAAATCTTAGTCTCGAGGTTGTAAAGGGCGTGCAGAAATTCTGACATAACTTTTTGCTTTATAGTGATACGCATATGTGTTGTATACCTCAACGGCGGATTAAGCGGTAAGCGAACTATGCGGCCGAGAAGAGGCCCCCCCGAGGTCGTTAAAATGCTACTGAAAAAAGGCTGATTTTTCCTTTCTCTATGGCTCTTCTTTACAATACATGAGTGTTGCTGATTAAAAAAATCAGCTGCAGATCTCGCTATTAAATATAGCAAAGATTTAAAAAAGTACGAATTCACAAGTGAAATTGAAAGTTTTAAGTTTGAAGTAACGACTCTTATACAAAATATAGAAACTGCATCTCCGCTTAATATTCTACAGGCTCTTCATGATTTTGGTTT